CTATACAAAATGAGATTTAGTCTAGGTTTTTGTTCATGTGGTTATAGAGGCCTAGGAGTTCCATGATCTGCCATTTGGAAACTGGAAAACCAGGAAAACTAGTGGTATAATTTAGTTCTTTTATGAAGGCCTGAGAATAGAGGAGGCCGATGGTATAAGACCCAGTGGGAGACAGAAGACCCAAGAACCAGGAACGCCAACGTTCAAAGGCAGAACATGGTGTTTCAGCTCAGAAAGAAAAAATTTACCCTTCCTCAGCCTTTTTGTTCTATTCAGGCCCTGAAAGATTGGATGATGCCCACCCACACTGATGAGAGTAATCTTTACTCAGTCTACTGATTCAAATACTTATTTTCTCATGAGACACCTTCCCAGACACACCCAGAAATAATGTTTACCAGCTACCCTTAGCCCAGTCAAGTTGACACATAAAATTAACCATCACACCAGTATTATTAGAATTGTTCATGATTGCTAAAAATATGCTGAAATTCACTTTTTGAAAACTCCATAAAGCCCTGTTTCTGCCCCAGATAGCTAAACCCTCCCTACTCTCCCTACCTAGGCTGTGTTTTTCTTTCCTGAATCCTATTTTGGTAGAGTTTGGGAACTTAGTGTTCCTCTATCCTGAATCCTATTTCAGTAGAGTTTGGGAACTCACAGTATTAAAAACTCTGTAAAACTCAGTGTTAAGTTAAAACCTAGGGAGGGAAATCTTGTCAGGGAATGGATTTTCTAAAATTGAAAGGCCCTCTATTGCTAGGCCTGGTGCTTTCTATATGGTAAATCTCCTATTACATGTAACAATCTATGACTTGAGCATTTGCAATTGTCCTTCAGGATGAATAAACTGAGATACAGAAAAGGTAAATCCATTGCTGCCAAAATTCCCTTAATATACAGGTGGGAGCCTGGGATTCAACCCAACATCCATGTAGCTTGAAGTCTAGGATGTTTCCACTATGCCATTTTTTAGAAAAATGCTGCAAGAGTGCTTGTTCTGAGACGTGGGTTTTCTGAAGAAAGTTGTTGCATTGTTAAGTTGTTGTTTTGTTGAACTTCATTCAAAAGTATAGGAACATCTAGTGTTTTTTTTAAGCAAGGAGTTTATAATAGCTATTATCTCACTTACCTAAGTAGAAGACCTGACATAGACAATGAGCTTAGAACGTCCTTACTCAGGTCATAGGAAAGGATTTGCTCTGAGAAGCTGTGCAAACCGTGGTTATCAGAGAGAACTGCATTGAAATCAAAAGCAATTTTTATGACAGCTGTCAAAGAAAATCAAGGTAAAGCTGCATTACATGATGTTGGCTTATAGATTAGCTATACTCCATGGACAACATATTTAATTCATGACAGTTTTTGCAACCCCAGCAATAAGGAGAGAGCTTGCAAAGTATGAACTGCTGGATAAAGACAATCAAGGAAATCAAAAGGCAGAGTGGGAAATGCTAGTTAAAAATTTAAATAAGTATCTGTCCCTCTAAAGAAATTATTCAGAATTCCACACAAATTCACCTAGATAATATAATTTCTAATGCCCACACTAATAGTTCATAATTCATCTTTTAAAATATGTTATTACTGGGGTGCCTGGATGGCCCAGTCCGTTAAGCATCTGCCTTCGGCTCAGGTCATGATCTCAGGGTCCTGGAATCAAGCCCCAAGTCAGCCTCCCTGCTCACTGGGGAGTCTGCTTCTCCCTCTCCTTCTGTCCCTCACTCCCACCCACTCCCTCTGCTCATGCTTTCTCTATCTCCATCTCTCTCTCAAGTAAATAAAATCTTTTGAGGGCGCCTGGGTGGCTCAGTTGGTTAAGCTACTGCCTTCGGCTCAGGTCATGATCCTGGAGTCCCGGGATAGAGTCCCGCATCGGGCTCCTTGCTCAGCGAGGAGTCTGCTTCTCCCTCTGACCCTCCCCACCTCATGCTTTCTCTCTCTCAAATAAATAAATAAAATCTTTAAAAAAAAATCTTTTGAAAAAATAAATAAATAATGTGATTACTTCATCAATCTAATAACATTCTTTGATTCATATTTATTTGTTTGTTTTTAGCACATGATATTTCAGTCAGATACCTTGACTCTAAAACAATGCAGATACTTTAGAAATAGACTAGTGTGAAGTCTGCAACCAGTAGTGTTAACAGAATAAATCAATTTCCCCAGTTTACAGAAAAACATATACAAGTAAATATCATCTTAAGAAAATCAAATATATACAATTTACAAAATAGACAAATTATGCTTTATTTTCATTGTACAAACATCTATCGCATTCCTTCTAATACAGCTAAAACAGATTTTAGGTTATCACGAAAGCGGGATATTTATAGTCAAATTTCCCAGGTCCTAGTGAGTGTTAAATACGAAGAACATTTATACTTGACTGTTCATTTTTCAAATTGCTTTAAAAGAATTCCTCTTAATCCTCCTCTCCCAAAAAGTTATTCTCCTGCCTAGATTTCTAAGTAAACTTAAAAGGTATTTTTGTATATGCAGCATTAAAATATATACTGATTCTTCCAACTTAAAGATCAGAGAAAATGTTTTCTTTCACAGAGTGACTGGCTCAAAAAACAGACTAGAGAAAAAAGAAAAAGAAAGAAAGAAGAAAACAGGCTAGATTGAGTACTAATTTTCAGAATGCTTGGAACTTTTACAGGACCCTAGAGGAATTTCTCTGGGTCGGGCTGCTCCTCTCTTTCAGTTAATTCCCTGGAAGTTATGAGTCTTCTTTTTTCTGTAATGTGAAAATATTAACCCTTCCAACAGTATGCTCTTAAGTAGCAAAACTATACTCTGGGTTTTGTGAATAACCTTCATTTTTCAAATAGCTAAAGGGATTGAATAAATCTTTGAGATAAAGTAGTTTCCATCAAACATCTTAATCTGCTGACAGATGGGAACTAAATATAACTCTGGCATAAAAGTTTCAGTAGAAAAGCCAAATAAAGAGTCAAATTCACCAACCACTTGAGAGTCCCCCAAAAGGCAATGCACATCTCATAAAGGATACAATTATAATGTTAAATCTACTGGTGAAAAAGAATTTTGCCATAAACTGAGGAAAGAGTACAAATGTTTTAGTGAAAAAACTACCAAAACATGTTTCCCATCTTCAGGTTTACATGTAAATGAAATATGATTATGATGTTTTGGTGTAAAAGATCAAAAGGAGTGTGCTATGTAGACAAAAAAAATTATCTTTATAAAAAATTACGGGATTAACAATTTCAAAAAATAACACTAGGGCAATCAGCCAAAAGTTTATAAAAAAAATAGATTTCTGCCTCACACAATGCATATAAAAAATTCTAGGTACACAAAAGAGCTAAATATTAAACTCAAATAAAAACCACAAACAACTATAAGAGTAAAATGAACTATAGGTATATATCTGACTATAATTATGACTGGAAAAGATCTTCCTAAGATAAACATAAATGTCAGAATTCATCATAAAAATATTCAATATTTGTTTTGAAAAAGATTTCATAAACACAGTTAAGACAAATTATAAATTGAGCAACAATACATAAAGGAAATATAAAAAGGATTAATATCCAGAATATATAAAGAGCCCTTACAAATAAATATGAAAGGATAACCAAATAGAAAAATGAAGAACAAAAAATACAAATTGCCAATAAATGCATGAAAGGATATTTTACCTCCCTGATAATAAGAGAGTTTAAAAAATAATGTTAGGGGCACCTGGGTGGCTCAGTCAGTTGGGCATCTGCCTTTGGCTCAGGTCATGATCCCAGAGTCCTGGGATCGAGCCCCAGGTTGGGCTCCCTGCTCAGAGGGGAGTCTGCTTCTCTCTCTCCCTCTGCCCCTCCCCTTCCAGTTGTGTTCTCTCACTATCACTCTCATGCTCGCTCTCTCTCAAATAAATACATAAAATCTTTAATAAAAATAATGTTATATCATTTTTGAACTGTTAGATTTGCAAAATACTTACAAGATTGTTAATACCCAGGACTGGAGAGAAAATAGACACATATAAACTGTTGGTGGGAGTGTTATTGGATAATGTTTTTTTAGAAGGCAATTTAACTAGCACATTCTCATTTAAACATTAATAACAACATGAATTCCAGTAGTTATGATCCTAGGAATCCTAAAAATCTAGTTTCTAAAGATCCCTTTTCTCAAATGCAAAAAGGTATATGTATTAGGAGCTTAAATATGGTATTACTAAAATAGGGAGCAAAATATTGAGATAACTTAGATTGTGGGTTCTAGAGTCAGAGAGCTTATTGTCAAGTCAGGTTGCTTTACGTACTAACTAGGTGACTTTTTGTTTGACTCCTTGATTTATATATTTGTAAAATACTTCAAACGTATTTTAAGGATTAAATAAGATTATACAAGTAAAGAGCTTAGAACTCAGAAGCACAGAATATCCATCATTTGCTAGGTTCTCTTCCCTTAGTATCAGAATCTTTGTTTTGATAAGGGCAGCAATGTACTCAATTAAAAAAAAAAAACCTATTTCTTAGATGTAAGCCTTCCTTGCATCTAAGGATAACCAGGTGACACACTTATAGTTAATGTGATGTAAGCAACAACAACAACAACAAATCACTGAGTATGTGATCCCAGGTGCCCTAACAAAATATTACAGAGTTGGTGGCTTAAACAACAGAAATTTATTTTTTCACAGTTATGGAGGTTGGAAGTCTGAGACCAAAGTGTCTGCTGAGTTAGCTTCTTCCGAAGCATCTTTCATTGGCTGATAGATGACCACCTTCTCCTTGTATCTTCACATGGTCTTCCCTCTGTGTGTGTCTGTCCTAGTCTCCTCTTCATATAAGGTCATGAGTCATATTAAAATAAATAAAATGACCTCATTTTAGCTTAATTACCTTTTTAAGACCCTATCTCCAAATACAGTCACATTCTGAGATACTGGGAGTTAGGAATCCAAAATATGAATTTGCAGGGGAAAGCACAGTTCAGCCAACAACAGCAGAGTTTTCAGGAAAGCACCTTACAGGGGCACAGGCCCTATTTTCATGTTGTATTTCTTCCTTGTTCTGGCAGGGATGCGGATGAGAGGTCTGAAGCTGGAACAGCCTTTTTGTGGCCCTGAAGGAAAAACTAAGAGATCTCAGAATCTTTGACCCTGACATATTCAAACTGCAAGAACACCATCAACTAACCCTACCTCTGAGCATCTTGGTAAGTGTATACTAGAGGTAAAGCATGGGGAAGGATTTAGAACTTAACTTGTTATTCAAAGTTTCTGTTACATGTAGCTGAACCCAAATACACACTGAGGTGAACAGTGTTTAATAAATTCTAATTTCCAATAATTATAATTAAAAGGGTTTTTTTTAAAGAAACCTAAATGTTCATCAATAGAGAGTATTTTAAAATATAAGGTATTCGCAAACTGTACAGCCACTCTGGAAACCAGTATGGAGGTTCCTCAAAAAGTTAAAAATGGAGCTACCCTAGGGGCGCCTGGGTGGCTCAGTTGGTTAAGCGACTGCCTTCGGCTCAGGTCATGATCCTGGAGTCCCTGGATCGAGTCCCGCATCGGGCTCCCTGCTCGGCAGGGAGTCTGCTTCTCCCTCTGACCCTCCTCCCTCTCATTCTCTCTGTCTCTCATTCTCTCTCTCTCAAATAAATAAATAAAATCTTTAAAAAAAAAATGGAGCTACCCTACAACCCAGCAATTGCACTACTAGGAATTTACCCAAAGGATACAAAATACAGATTCAAAGGGGTACATGCATCCCAAAGTTTATAGCAGCATTATCAACATTAGCCAAACTATGAAAAGAGCCTAAATGTCCATCAACTGATGAATGGATAAAGAAGATGCTGTATATATATAATGGGAATATTACTCGGCCATCAAGAAGAACAAAATCTTGCCATTTGCAATGACGTGGATGTAACTAGTGGGTATTATGCTAAGCAAGTCAGTCAGAGAAAGACAAATACCATATGATTTCACTCATATGTGGAATTTAAGAAACAAAACAGATGAACATATGGGAAGGGAAAAAAGGGAGAGGGGGGAACAAACCATAAGAGACTCTTTAACATTAGAGAACAAACTGAGGGTTGATGGAGGGAGGTGGGTGGGGGATGGGCTAAATGGGTGATGGGTATTAAGGAGGGCACTTGTTGTGATGAACACTGGGTGTTATATGTCAGTGATGAATCCTAAATTCTACTGCTGAAACCAATGTTACACTATATGCTAACTAACAAGAATTTAAATAAAAATTGAAAAAATAAAAATAAGGTAATCCACATTATGAAATAGTTTATAGCCATTAAAGAAAAATATGAGGAAGATCCATGTTAAATAACAAGTAAAGTTTTCTGAGATCTATTATGAAGTGAAAAAGTGAAGTTGCAGAAAAAAGATGCATTTATTTTAAAATGACACATAGAGTGAATAGATATAAATGCATTAGTTCTATAGGGATACAGGACTGAATTGTTTAAACCTTTAGTAACAAATATATGCTAATGCATTATAAATATAATAAACAGGGAAATATGTTTTTTAAAATTAATCAAATTACTAATTTTCTTTGCAATTCTGTACTTGTACAAAGTGCTTCAATTAAAATTTTTGAATTACAAATCTCAAGCCATATCTTAAATCACAAATTTTACTATAAACACCTAAAGCTTCGATTTTGTTGGAGAAGATGCCACAGACAATTTATAATTATTTTAGAGGCTATGTGTATCATTCTTTTAAGAACAAATTCATAACTTAAACTGGCTTTTTGTGAAGGAACAGATCTGCTTTCTAGAGAGCTTAATAAATTATAAATGTTTTATTAAAATTATATTTAAAGAGAATTCCACTTGCAGCATGACAGTGTGAGGAGCATTGTGGACCCATTCTCCAGTAAAACTGGGGAAAAAAAAAATTTAAAAGAAACAACCATTTAACATTAATGGAAATGATCCTAAGGGCATACAGCAAATGAAGAAACACTTATTCAAGAAAATCTACTAAAACTCCCTAAGAACAGTGAAAATCTGGGGTATTTGAACCAAGGTGAGTTCCCTTCTCCCTCCCCCAGATCAATGAAACAGAGGTGCATCTGAGAATACAGCCATACTTCTTTCTCCCCAGCTTCCAGTTAAAGTGTCCTCTAATTAACATGGGAAAGATGTCAGCATTTTAATACTATTTTCAAAACCCCATTGATGTTTGGGGTTTTTTTTCGCAAAATGGACAAGCCCTGCTAAAATTCATATAGAATTTCAAGAGACCCAGGATAGTAATTACATTTTTGAAAAAGAACAAATTTGAAGGACTCACACTTCCTGATTTCAAAATTTACTACAAAGCTACAGTAATCAAAACTTGTAGTTTTGTCATAAGAATATACAAATAGTCCAATAGAATAGAATTAAGAACATAGAAACAAACTCAATGGTCTATCAATCTATGGTCAATTGATTTTTGACAAGAATGAAAAGACCATTCAATGGGGAAAGAACAGTTTCTTGAACAAATTGTTTTGGAAAACTGTATGTCAACATGAAAAAGAATGAAATTGGACCTTTATCATGTACCATATACAAAAATTAACAAGAAATGAATCAAAGACATGAATTTAAAATCTGTAACTATAGAATTCTTCAAAGAACATATAGAAGCACATATGCATGACCTTGAATTTGGCAATGGAATCTTAAATATGACATCAAAAGCATAGGCAACAAAAGAAAAAATAAACTGGATTTTATTAAAATTTAAAACTTTGGTTCATTGAAGGGTACTATGGAGAGAATGAAAAGACAGTCAATCCATTCAACAAATGATGCAAAATCAGCTGGGCATCAACATGAAAAAAATCTACATACAGACTTTACACCCTTCAAGAAAATTAACTCAAAATAACACAGATCTAAATATAAAATGCAAAACCATAAAACTCCTAAAAGATAACATAGGAGAAAATCTAGATGACCTTGGGTATGGCAATGACATTTTAGATATAACACCAAAGTACAATCAATGAGAGAAATAATTGACAAGCTGGACTTCATTAAAATTAAGAACTTCGGCTCTGTTAATGACAATGTCAAGTGAATGTGAAGACAAGCCACAGACTGGGAGAGAATATTTACAACAGATAATCTGATAGAGGACTCTTATCCAAACTACACAAATAAAACTTTAAACTCAACCACAAGAAAACAAATAACCCAATTTAAAAATAGGCAAAAAAAATCTGAACACACATGTGACCAAAGAAGATATACAGATGGAAACAAGCATATGAAAATATGCTCAGCATTATTTATCGTTAAGGAATTACAAGTTAAAACAACAACAAGGCATCATTACAAACTTACTAGAATGGCAAAAATTCAAAACACCGACAACAACTGTTTGTGAGGATGTGGAGCAACAGGAATTCTCATTCACTGCTTGTGAGGACGCAAAATGGTACAGCTACTGCAGAAAATACTTTGGCAGTTTCTTGCAAAGCTAAACATAGGCTTGCCATAAGATCCAGCAATTGCACTCCTACATATTTACCCAAATGAACTGAAAACTTATGTTCACACAAAAACATACATACAAATATTTAGAAGGTCTTTATGCTCATCAAAAACTGAGCACAACCACGATTTCCTTCAACAGGTGACAGGATAAACAAACTTGGTATACGATTAACTGGAATAGTATTCAGCAATGAAAAAAATGAGCTGTCAAGCCATGAAAAGACATGGAAGAACCTTAACATGCATTTGCAAAATAAAAGAAGCCAGTCTGAAAAGGCTACTTACTGTATGTTTCCGCAAGTGACAGTTTGAAAAAGGCAAAACCGTAGTGCTGGTAAACAGATCAGTTGTTACCAGTGGTTACCAGGGGTTCAGTGGGTGGCAAAGGAGGACTGGTTGATAGGTAAAACACAGGGGAATTTTTAGGGCAGTAAAGCTACTTTGTGTAATACTGTAGTGGTGAGGGGAATATAAGATGTTAAGCATTTGTCAAAATCCACTGACTTTTATAGCACAAAGAATAAATCTTAATGTATGCAATATTCAAGAAATTGTTTCAGAGTTTGGAGGATCCCAGAATGGAATTCAGAAAATGGCAAAGGAATTTAAATGTATTACAAATCCCAACTGGGGGACATTGTATAAAATATCTGACCAATAATCTGCAAAACTGTCAAGGTCATCTAAAACAAGAGAAGTCTGAGAAACTTAAAACCAAGAGCTGCCTAACGAGACATGACTATTAAATTTAATGTGGTATCCTGGATGGGATCCTAGAACAGAAAAAGGAAATTAGGACACAGTTATGAAAAAGAAAAGACAAACCACAAATTGGGAGAAAATATTTGCAAAACACATTTCTGAAAAAGAATCTGTATCTAGGGGCGCCTGGCTGGCTCAGTCAGAGGAGCACGAGACTCTTGATCTCAGGGTCGTGAGTTCAAACCCCACGTTAGGTGCAGAGGTTACTTACTAAAAAAAAAAAAAAAAAAAGAACTTGTATCTAAAATGTACAAATAACTCTTAAAACTTAACAACAACAAACAAGAGCCAAATTTAAAAACTGGGCGTGGGGAACATTAAAACCCTCTGTACTATCTTTGAAATAATTCTATAAATCTAAAACCATTCTAAAATAAAAGTTTATTTTTACAAAATCCTTCGTAGTTTCATATCCACTTAAAAACAATCCAAATACAAGATTTCATCTCATCTTTGTGTAGACAAGTTGGAACAAAGCAGTGAAGTTCATTTATGCTGCATTATTCCTGAAGAATGAGTGATAGGCTCTTGCTTGTTTTATTTTTCCCTAAAGCCAAGGTCTGTGTGTGTGCTTTGAGGGCAGGGAGGGGACAGTGGAGGAGATAATGTGAAACATTTCTTCCATTTTATGATGCTCTTTTTTCACTTTTTAAATTTCAAAAAGCCAGGATGTAGTCTACAATTGATGGGAACATTTACTATGGTAAAGTTTTGTTTAGTTTGCTTAGGTTTCTTTCCTGTATGGCTATTATTAAATCAGTTGTGCATCTTGCAATCTACAGTATTTTATAATTGAAGAAAGATGGCATATGAACTCCATACAATGTAGAGAACAATAATGTCCTTCCCAAAAGAACCTTTCGGTTCCCGTTTCAGTTCATGTGACAGGCTAGCTCTTCCCCCAGGAGGAAGTTTCATTTGTT